ATATATATATATATATATATATATATATATATTATTTTCTTCTTTGTAGAGTGATGGACCTCAGGCAGTTTGGGAAGCAGTAAATACACCCGGCGAGTAAAAGTGCACAACGCCACAAAGCGCCATGCGCCTGCGCTAAGCGTGTCAGAGCTTTCCATTTTAAACAGTGCAATTATTCACACCAGATGTTTAAAATACTCGCTAAACGCCCCTATTACATGCATAGTTAAACAATGGGCTTGGAAGAAACAGAAAAACAACATCCAGTTTCATAGTTCACTTCAGGCCAAGGTGCGTCTTCTCCTTAGTGCATTTCTACAAGATAATACCAAATGTTTACAGTTATTAAAGAAAAAGTCCAGTCATATTCACAATTAAAACTTCTGAAAGTACTTTAAATATGAAATTATCACATTCTGTTCAATAAATTATATTTTTTTTTATTGAGAGTAATTTTCATTTTAATGTGCTTTACTGGAGGCATCCATGTTTGTCTAAGAAAATTCTGCCATCTACTGGTTTGTGACGTCACGGTGCGGTATCGGCTGTTGATCAAGTCCCAGTGCTGTATCTAGTGTTTGTCACAAAGTGCTATTATCCAACTCATCTTGAAACATTCTTCTTCCAAATGTTAGCTACATATTACGTGTATTTCCTCTGGCAAAAGTTTGATTGCAAATCCTCGTTCTTCAAGTTGGCAATCCAACGACGAACCCGTCCGTGGACGATCATGAATCAGAAAGGTGAAATAAATCTTAAATATTTGTTCTTGATTGCAGATGTGTATAATAACTCCCATTGGTTTTGCTTGTAAAGCGGGGAGAATGGCGCTAGGCTTACCACACCGTGACGTCACTGCCGGAAGATGTCAGGAGTGAGGTGTTACTATATTCGGGAAAAAATGTCCGCTCCCAGACTCAAAGATCAGACAGAAATTATATTTTTTTGTTTTTTTTTACTGATTATCGCTATATTCATTTAATTACTAAAAAACGTATTAGTTTTAGGTATAGATAATGATCCATTGATTATTTCTTGGTGAACGGACTTTTCCTTTAAACCCCCCCAGCCGATGTTGGTAGTTGTAACATGCTAACAAATCACATGTTTGATTTCAAATTACTCAAGAAGCTGATTTTAATGTGATCATATATTATGAATAAGTTCGTAACTTTTGTCCTGTTTTATTTACTTACCAGGTCATAATAGCAATAACAATGAATCATCTTTGCTCAGAGCCCCGTTGCTGAATCTGTTATGCATTTCAGTGTCTGATTTAAATTTCAGTTTCAAATATATGCGCATATGCCGATTTGGTGTGCTTATTTACCTCTTGAAACCCCTTTCACACCTTGACGATTTATCCAGCATATGCCTGACATACGAAAAATTTGGCAAAAATGCTGGCATAGGTTGGATAAGTTATGGGTACGTTCTGTATAAGTTATGAGCACGCTGAAGTACGCTTAAACACGCTGGAACATGTCAAAATATGTCAAGAAGGTCTCAGCATGCTCAAAATTTCTCGACGTATGCCAGCGTATGCCATATGTTGGCCATAAGTTACAGTTAAGTTATCTGATCGTTGATATACTTTAAATGCGATTTACTCAAAAGTCATGGCATCTAGCTTATCCTGAACCTGTAAGTAACTTGTGCATAACTTATGCGTTACTTATCAAGAACTTATCTCCAGCGCATATCAATGTATCTGATGTGTTTCAGATGACCGCTAAACATGTTTCTAACCTTCAGCTACTGTACTGTTTAATAGCGTATTGGCAGCGTTTTGGTATAAAGGGGTTCACAGGAGGAAACCAACAAACTTTCTAGCAGACATGACGCTGAATCTGCTGTGACTGAAAACCTTCTTTATTTCTTTTTTGCTTTTTATCCATTCTTTTTTTTTGGCTGGCGGTAAACACCAGCTAGGTTAATACCGCAATCAAATAAATCTTTTTATGCAGGCCGGGCGCCTTGCGGGCATTGCTACCCCCTTCAGGACACTGGCTTGTGCATCATTTCATGGGCACTACACTGCGTTATGCATAAGTTAGGCTGTTCTTGGACATAAGTTACGGATTTGTTATGAATTACTTTGTATATGCCCAAAAATGAAAAAAATACATAGAAAGTTCAGCATATGCCAGCGTTTTAGGGGATTCTGTGATGTCAGGCATATGCTGGATAAATCGTCAAGGTGTGACAGGACCCTTAGAACTCGTTCCAGGGTAATGTATTTCTACTTTGTTTTCATTGTGTTAACTGATATAATGCCTGCCTTTAGAGAAGATGTTGATGTTGTTCAGGCGATCAATAAAACAGCACTTTGATTCTTCAGCATTAGATTGTAGGGATGGATTTAGATTTTCATACAATGCTATACATGCACCCAACAGGTTGGCATGGAATAAATGGGTGCCATCCAGATATTTTATTGTTTGCTCAAAGTCTCCTCACTGAAATTTTAGGTATACATTTTTATTCTACCTGGATTTGCCTGTCATCATAACAGGTTTGATCCTCTTTGTTCTCTTTTATCCTGACATTCCTATTCCTTATTTCCCTGTGACTACTCTATTAAAAGTTCAGCGATTGTGACCATGGAATAGTTATCAACAGCCTGGATTCTATTTATACTCCGTGTCCATCAAGCACACTTCAAGGTGTCCTCAAAGCCTTCAGTAATCGCAAGCACATCTACGTAGTCAACTTGTTTGACAGCTATGTCGCCCTGAAGAAACGTGAAAGACAGCAGAGAGAAACTGAGGGTAAGTTATTTGTATAGTGTAGATACATACATTTGTATAGCAAAGTTGTGATGGATCAATATAATTTGAGGCCATTTCACATAGTGTAAACATGTTTCAGTAAAAGGCCTTATAAATACTTAGCAACACAGAGAATACAGTGGACAAGGTGTTTGAACGGGAAACCCTTGCAAATATTGGAAAGTAGAGGTGAAAGAACAATTTATACAACAGGGAATATAGACAATAACATCTTTTTCCTTTTTAGATAAACGAGCCAGAGCAGGCAACCCAGATATCCACACAGATTCCTACATATGTATCAGGCTATCATGCGCATACGCAATTAGGGAAAAGTCAGGGCAAAAACAGACACACGCACACAGTTAGGCCACACACTCCAGTTTGTGCACAAGCATCCACACAATGTCACAAAGAAGGTATAAATAAAGCTTAAGAGGGGTGAAGGTTTGGGGGGAAATGCTTTGAGACTTTGGTGACGATGATGAGTGCTGTATTTGTGAATTTTTTGGACAGCATGTGAATTCATCCTTTTTTTCTCCCCCTCCGGTGGACAAATTAAGATAATCGTCTTTAGTGTCTTGATTTTTTGTCCTAAGAGAATTCTACCATTTTGAACCCCAAAAGTTGTATGATTAGTTTATGGGTGCATTTCCTGCAGAAGCCTTACAGAATGAGATAGCTGAACAGGAGGAGAGGCACCTTTGGGAATTGGATCAGGAGAACTTTGATGCCTTGCCTGATGAAGAAAAGGAGAATGTTACCCAGCGACACTTGGAGGCAATTCAAAAAAAGAAAGAGAGGTAACTATCTAATACACGTAGAGCAGGCTTTTTTATTTTTTATAATGTGCTCTATGCAGAACTCCAGGTCTTCCTAAACTTAAGGCAGCTCCTTTGTTTCCTGTGTTTTTCTACTGGATGAACCGATTAATCCAGATGTAACCCAGACCTCGCCCCCACCCCCCACCCCCACCCATCTCACACGGGGGTATCTGGGGATTTCCTCCTGGGTTTGCTCCAGACCCAGAGGGAAAGTGTATGTTTGAGGACTGTAAGAATGTGTTTAGTGTCTGCCTCTGCCATTGAGTGCTTCTATATGTCTGTATGGGTGTAAGGATGGGATTGTATAAATGTGACTGGATGAATGAGAAGTTTACTTGTGAGGTTGGGTATTTGCCACCGCCACCACACTCACTGAATATCCAAGGCCAGGGGTCTGCAACCTTTCATATCCAAAGAGCCATATTGCCCTGGGTCCAGCTAATTAAACTCGTATAGAGTAGCAAAATATGACATGATTTTTTTTGTAAAAAAACAGCCTATTATTTTTTAAATATCTGCCATAAGAAATCAGTTGCCATTCTAAATAACCAAGAAGCTTTTTGGATTCTTTTAAAATAAGGAAAAACAAAAATGATTCTCTGTCACTCACCTCTGTGCCTAGCCGAGGGAGCTTGCTCTCTTGAAAAGAAAGCACAGCAGTGAAGAAGGGATGATGTCACTGAGCAGTCTACGCGTCTACTCTCTCTGCTCAGGCAGATCAGTGGCGCGCATGCGCAGTCTCTCCATGGCTTTTTAATACAACTTCCAAGCGTTAGAGACTGCAGTTTGCCACAAGACCTCTAAGATTCAACAGAGTGCTCTCTTCATTTGCTACCGGGGATTTGGCTCACGTCCTGAAGGATGAAATAGCATCCCTGTTAGAGAAAAAGGCAATCAGAGTAGGTGCGGACAAGGAGATTCGTCAGGGCTTCTACTTGCGCTATTCCAAAGAAAGACGACGTATCACTATGCCCCATACTGGACCTGTGTGTGTTAAACAGACAATTACGCAGATATGCATTCAGGATGCTCACACACAAAGCACTGTGCCGTTCCAACAATCTGGGGGATTGGTTTGTAACCATTGACCTCGCGGGCGCCTATTTTCACATCTCCATTTACGGCCCACACGAAATTCTCTCAGGTTCGCTTATCAGAGTGAGTTTCAGACCATCCCTTTCGGGCTGTCATTAGCCCAGAGGATGTTCAGCAAGTGTGTGGAGGCAGCGCTGTCCCCTCTGAGGACATGCAGGATCAGAATATTTTCATACATAGATGATTATCTCATCTGCTCTCGATCAAGAGAGCAGGAAGTCAGCGACTCCCTGGCAGTGATAAACCACCTCATCAACCTCGGGTTCAGGATAAATCAAGCCAAAAGTCGCCCGCTGCCTGCTTCCTGTGCAATACACAGAGTATTTGGGTCTCAGAATAAACTAACTCAGTGCATGACGCGTTTTCAGTTGGGAAAAGTTGTTACATTCAGACTGTGCCTGTGGCTCCTTGGTTTTATGGCATCCGTGATTTCAGTTGTCCATCTGGGGCTTCTGATGATGAGAGACTTTTAGCCCGGGGTCGCCTCTGTCCCTGCCTTCATCTGTGTAGCAGGGTAAAAGTAACACAGATATGTGCGACGGCTCTTCAGCCATGGAGAGACCCGACGGTTCACACGTCAGGTGTGCCGCTGGAGACGGCAGCATACAGGATTACCATGACTACCGATACATCCCTGACCAGTTGGGGTGCAACTATGATGGGCAGAGCGGTGAATGGTGTATGTTTCCCGAAAATGGTGCGGCTTCACATCAACATGATGGAACTGCACGCAGTGTTCCTCACTCTGAAACACTCCATGCCCTAAAACACTGATCTATTGTTGTAGAGAGTTTTAAATACAGCTAGCTGTACAGCAAAAAGGCTCTTGATCTTCTAGTTTTCATTTTAGTGTAACAAAAAGGAAGGTTATCACAGAGCAAAGGGCTCAGAATGATGTACGGAAAGGCCAAGTTATTCAGAGATTTTAAAGTGAGAAGGAGGATCTTTCCAAAAAAGTTAAAAAAAAAACAATCCACTGGACTTTGTTTCCAAGTTTAAAGACATTTCGCTTCCCATCCAAGAAGCTTTTTCAATTGAAAATGCCAGAAATAGTGTTGAGTTTGAGGCTTTATAGAGTGGACAAAAACAAAGCCTTGTTTTGGCTTCGAAAAATGACACCTGAACCTGATAAGTGGGTCCACCCATTTGGAATGGGGGGCCGTTTGGTGTCTTTGTTAGCCTGTAATACCCCATACCTGTCTATGTCTCTGAAAGGGGGGGTCATTAAAGGGAATAGTTGGCCTGGCTGAAGAGTAGAGGTGCTCTGTTCCCCTGTAATGGTTGGGGTTGCTATGGTAGAGGGAAGGAATCAACTCAATTGCTGAATTCCCGCTATCATTGCAACCCCCACCCCATTTCAGGGGAACAGAGCAGCTCACATCCTGAAAAAAAAGTCCAGTGGTTTGTTTTTTTTGGAACAACTATGACCTGGATGACTGAGAATCTTCACCAGCAAGAAGAAGGATGTTGGAATTGTTGTGATATTTGATTAGTAATGGGAAACTAGGTGGGACGTATTGTATGGAAATTGTTCTAGAGCTGCTGTGTTTTGAACGAACTGAACATTAAGAAAGTGATTATGTTTTTCCTTCCGTGATTGCATAGGGAAATTGACCAGAAGGCAAAAGAAGATATAGAAAGAAGGCAGGAAGAGGAGAAGCTGAAAGAGAGAGATACGAGGAAAAAGAGGAGAAAAGATGAAAAGCCGAAAACTCTGGAAGTTCTGCAGACGAAAACTTCACGAGAAATAGAGCAGGTGAGGGAATAAATAAACTAAAATCAGACCCAACTGGACTTTTACTACTGTAAGTGTTTTAAAGACATTTAAACAGCTGTCTTTTCTGTCAACATGAACCAACAATGGAAAGATGTGTTAAGGTGAAAACTTCTTCCCTGTTTTTAATTTCTTTAAATCACCAGTGAGGGCCAGGGTCCTGCAGTTTTTTTATGTTTGGTTAAGTCTAACTGAATCAATAACGAAGTCATTAACAGAAAATGCATTTGATTGCATGCACGATAGGCCAATCCAGCCAGCCATCTAAAAGCCCCATTTACACTACCCTCTGAAAACTGACCTGCTTCATGCTTGGATGAGTTTACCGTGCCGAGCTTGGTTCCTTACGACCGTTTACACACCATGCTAGCATGGTTCCTCGCCTCCTAGTGACAATCTACAGTACTACTCTCTAGAGGTAAACAAGGAAATCAACATGGCGGTGCCCGTAACATTCAGAAAGTTTGGTTATAATTGTGATATTTCATTGTTTGCGGACAGTCAGGGAAAGAAGGCAGCCTTTGGTGAATTTACTTGACAGAGTTGGATTTTGGGAAGTGGATAGGACAAACAATAGTCTAATCAGGGCTTACAGATGCAGGAATAATGACAGATGTTGAGGTTCATCACACTGCAAAGCAGAAACATCACTGGAAATCTTGTGGCATGGTAAGGGTTTAAACACTGGTATAGCATGAAATCATGAAGTTTTAATGATTATGAAGGCTTACTGTAAGGAGATGACACGTTCTGCTCATGCGCTATTTGTTTTCTGAGAACCGAGTCAGAGCTGAACCGCGGCAAGCCCTACCGATGAACAAGTACCATGTTAGCGCTGTTCAGTTGTGTCTGGCATGGTCTGGTTCAGTTGTGCGTGCCATTTACAGTCAACTCTTATCTTGGTTACCGTCCTGGCAGGGTTTCAAAAGGGTAGTGTACATGGGGCTTAAGTCATATACATAAGACAGGAGACACGTTGAAAAGTAGCATGATACCTGTCCTTAATAGCTAAGTTTAACCTGTGTTAAAGTGTTCCTAATTGTCCCTAATTTCAGAGTATCGTGGATAATCTGCAGTGTGAGTTTGAAAAATACAAGCAGATTCAGGCCAAGGTGGATCAGATCCTGCAGGTGTGGGACCGAGTCCAGGGCTCCCGAATGGATTCTGTTCTAGCAGAAGATACCTGTCCAAGTTCAGAGGAACCTTTAAGAAAGAAAAAAGTGAACATGATCATTTTGTCTTACAGAGTTTGATCTTTTTAATCCTCTGTTTGTTTTTGTCCTACCCTTCCACTTTAATGCTTAGTTATCCTCTTTAGTTCTTTAAGGTATATTTTCAGAATCGTTATTTAAAGGTCATCACTCGGTCACCTCTCCGTTTTCACAGACTGCCGTTAAAAGGAATATAAGAAAGAAAACTGTTAAAACTGTCCGAAGAGTGCAAAATATAATCCCTCACATTATGGTGAATGTAACGGCGAATGGCTGCCATAGTTTCCAAGAAATGCTCTTTTACAGCCCCCTGCCTTCTTTGAATACGGTAGGTCCAGCCTATATTTTCCATTGGATTAAAACTTCACGTGTAGATAACTATTTCGTTCATTAATCATATTAATGTTTTCCTTATATCTTCCATAGATTCTGGATGACTTGAGTTCAACACCTAGTAGCCTTCGGCATATTCCTCCTGTCACACTCTCTGTTGTTGCTTTTCCTAAGCACAGGGAACAGCCTAAAGTTCATCAGACATGTTTCACCTTTCTGAATCCATCATGGCAGAATGAGGAGGAGGGGGAGAAGAATGATCCAGAGGAAATCAAACATAGAACAACTCCAAAGGTCATATCCATTTTTATTACACTAGTAGCCATTCAAAATTTCCCCACTTTCCTTGATCGTTCCTTGGCTAGTCCCCCATAACTCCTTTTTAAACATCTAAAATATTCTTTCTGTCATGATTCGTGGAAATTAAAGTCGCAGAGAAACGGCTGTTCCAAGCATTGCATTTCCGAATTCTCCTGAGTGGTGCACGACTTTACACAAGTGAATAAAGTGAATGCGATTAGTCGTTCATCAAGGGGGCGGGGTGTTGTGACGGAAGGTTCCAAGCATTTTGGTTGTTGCCGGTTTGTTGGAAGCATCTTGCTAACCAGTTAGCAACTTAGTGCTAGTAGGTTCCCAAATAAAATTACATTGGGACCAAGTAGCACTTAGAGTAGCACCTTCCTCGCAACGCTGGCAGTTCTGTTAGCTCTTCACCTGCCAGAAACACAGACGTCCATCCCTGTGAATACTGGGATGGAACTCTGGCCAATGATTCTTATTACAACCGTTGCGTATATTAGCTGCGACATATGACTCAAGATGCTATGACCGAAAAAAATTGATTGACACATGACAGTTGATATATGATTGGCCGAATTTAGGTGTTCAGGCTGACGTATAACTAACTGGCCTGCATTAGATAAAAAAAAAAAAAAACAGATTTTAAGACAGGATTTTTTTAAATAGAAATTGTCTAACTTTTGGGACAATATCATCTGATAAAGAGTACATTTATATACAGAATGATTTGACATTTAAATATGACTTCCCTATGACTCTAAGATCTAAAGAGAAGGACCATCTACTGGTCCGATCCTGTAATTCATTGAAAGGGTGAAGTCAGAGTAAAAAATATGCAAGCCCATAAGAAGGCCATTAGCTGGAAGTGGGAGGGGCTTTTGCTGACGTTCGGCTGGCTTTTGACTGGGAAGGGCCATTTTGAATGGCTGCTACTATACATGTATAGAAACACCTGTTCAAGAAGAAAAGACATAGGAAAGTAACTAGAAGTAAAATGTTAGTAATGTTGTTGACGATTTTAGTAAATATTTGTCTTTGTGTGCTTAGGAAAAGGCAGCAGGCTCTAAACGTCACAAAAGAGACTCCAATTACAAGACCAAAGAGAAAAAAGGGAAAGAAAGTAGCATGAGCATAAGTCCTCACAAGATCAAATCAAAGATTCCAGAGAGGTCTGACACACTTTTATGAACTTCTTCTTTCTCTAGTTTTATTATCCACAGAAACTTTCCAGGTGAATCAGACAGCAGATCTTCAGATCTCTAATTGTTTGTGTTTTTGGTGTTCATATTTAGTTTGACTGTGTTCCGCTGGGTTGTACCTGCCTACAGTGAGGTTGTTCTGAAACTGGGGTTCTACTCAGAGTCACCAGGAATCTTTGAGCAGGTCTTCAATTTTGAATTAGCTGGAAGCTGCAAACTCTACCAACTCACCTGCAGAGGAGTTTGCACCTACCCCTCCATCTGCAAAGATTACAGGTCAGTTATTGTTCATAAATTCATGTGGGCTTGTCTTTCAAATAGTCCCTCTGTTTCTCATTATCAGGTATCGTCCCCATTGTCACCTTTAGAAGCTCCTTTTCCAATATCTCAGCCACGATTAGCAAGTTTGATGTTCAAGCACAGAGAAGGGGTATTTACTGCATACATATTTTGTCTTTCTAAAAAACTGTTCTTGCTTTACCAAAAATTTCCAACCAATGTTGCAATCAGGCACTCTGCCAAGGACAATTTCAAAATCCTAACAGAAAATTATGAAAAGTTTAACTAAATGAGCCCCACTACCAGAGGTAACATAAGTTCTTCAGCATTGGGTCTGCTTTGATTCTAAAGAAAATATCCTCACTGTCACGACATACCCTCTTGTACCTCAGGAAAAACAGGCAGGTTACAGCCCATTCTCACTAAATAATTGTCTTGAAATTTACATTGTCAAATAGTTTGCATATTTCAGTTCAAAGCATTGTGTTTGTTCTCTAGTGTCTGTTGATATTCAGTTTGCTTGTTGCCAGGTTATGCCAGACATGTTTCATGGTGTTTTCAGACTTGGTTTAGATTGTGCAGAAGTCTAATGTCATTCAACTATTTCATTTCAGTACAAATATATTCACATAGGATTAATTATCTTATTATCATCTGTCATTGTTCCAATAGCTCCTTTCTGGCCTTAAAAGTATTGAGGAAGATCTTTTAAAAGACCTGCCCTCTCCAATTTAAAAAAAGATGCGTGTGCAAGAGCATGCATTTCTCCTCATGAACGCCCTGTTTAAAATGCGCTGTTCTCATAGCTTATACATGCTTAGTGTGTGCACATACAGCGGGGACTGTTTAGTGGGATTTATAGTGAACTCAGTTAACTGACCGTTCGGACAGATGATCACTAGTGTTTGCCTCGTTGATCACGTAAATCCTCCTCCAAGGCATGGTGCCTGTTGGGTAGCAACAGTGTATGGCAACAGTGGACCACTGTGACAGCAACTCCCATAATGCTTTGCGAGAAGAGCTCTCCGCAAAGCATTCTTCGATATATATATATCTGCCTCTTCTGAGGCCTTTCTTTTCTTTTTATATACTTCGTAAGTGCTTTTTCTCTTACGTCACCGGCCATTTTCAAAGAACCGTGTTGGGAAAGGTGCGCTTCAATGACTGCCTGAAACCGTAGCTCACCACAGATATACGCCTGAAAGTGCGCATGTGCAGAAAAAGACCACTTGTTGAGATGATCCACCTCCCTGCAGACAGAATCTGCATGTGTGGACCAGGCCGTCGAGGCACCAAGCCTTGACTGCCTCCCAGTCCTCTCAGCACCCGACCCCTACGAGTCCTTGTCTCAAGTGGAGGAGTTCAGGTGTCTCGGGGTCTTGTTCACGAGTCACAAACAGCTTTGCAGATGGTAAAGAAATGCATTTGCATATCCTTCCCCTATAAATGTTCACGTTTGGTTCCTCAGTATATTTTTGCATTTATATACACTGAAATATACACTCAACAACAGGCCAATCTCCAACATGTATAAGGATCTCCAAAATGGTGCCACAACCAAACAAGAACAGTCCAGATGAGGCTACAATGAGAAAAAGCAGAGACCATAACGTTACAGATTGAACACAGCAGCAAGCCCATGAGCTCTACTGACGGCCAGTCACGCTCAATGTGGCCATCTTCTATATAGAGCTATTCAGTTTATTTGTATAGCGCCAATTTACAACACACATCATCTCAAGGAACTTTACATTTCACAAGATGATGCAGTCAAATTGATTCAAAGCTTTCTATCTAAGGAAAACCAGTTGATTGCATTAACTCATTGACTCGAATGCAATCCCTCACAGTAAGCATGCTTATAGTGACAATGGAGAGGAAAAACGACCTTTTAACAGGAAGCAACAGGCTCAGTCTGAGCAGCCATCTGCCGAAGCCGACTTGTGTTCAAGGAGACAGAAGCAGACTTACAAATGGCAACTGTAAAAGGTGGTCTCATCCAGGAACCACCAGCCAGGCAGACGAGCTCTGAGCCAGCTCCCATGCCAGAGGATGAAGAGAGCATATCCAGCCACTCACAGTCAGAGAAACAGAACTACACTGAAAAACAGGCAGATCTTGAACATCCATAAAGAAAGGTGTTGATGGCAGCAGCACGGCTGATATTGCTCTCCAGGATGGAATCACGGCCAAACAGAAACAGATGAGGCAAAGCTACTATGAGAAAAAGCAGAGAGAGCATAACGTTAGAGATTGAACTAACAGATTCTGCAGAGTGGGGGAATAGGGAGAGAATGAAGCAGAATGATGAAAAAGGTGTCACTATGTCCTCCAGCAGTCTAGGCCTATAGCAGCATAACTATAGAGATAGCTCAGGATAACCTGAGCCACTC